ATTACTAATTATTAATTACTAATTGTAAGTCAACAAGCTATGCAATTAAACAAGAGGATAGGAATTTCACCTGGTTGTTCCCTTCTATCGGCCGGCATTCTTTCAGCTGAAAATAATCAAATAATAATTTAGTAAATTTGTTTTCGCACTGATCAAACACTTGTGACAATTATTGATTAAAAAAAAAATTAAAAAAAGCACGAGGCACAACAGATAAAAATTATTAATTGTCTAAACAATCAATAATTATTAATTACGAATTATAAGTCAACAAGCTTTGCAATTAGACAAGTGGATAGGAATTTCACCTGGTTGTTCCCTTCTTTCGGCCACCCATGCTTCAGCTGAAAACAATCAAATAATAATTTAGCAAATTTGTTTTCGCACTGATCAAAGACTTGTGACAATTATTGATAAAAAAAACTTAAAAAAAGCATGAGGCACAGCAAGATAATAATTATCAATTGTCTAAACAATCAATAATTATTAACTATTAATTACAAATTATAAGTCAACAAGCTATGCAAGTGAACAAGTGGATAGGAATTTCATCTGGTTGTGCCCTTCTTTCGGCCGCCATTGCTTCAGTTGAAAACAATCAAATAATAATTTGGAAAATTTGTTTTCGCAATGATTTAAGACTTATGGAGAATTTTATAGCAAAATTTAAAGGCATGAGGCACATCGGATGAAATATTATCCGATTTTCTTAACAGATACCCTTTTTTAAGTTATAAATCATAAGTCAACATGCAAGCTATGCAAGTGAACAAATGAATCGACGATGAACCTGTCCTTCCTCTTCTTTCGGCAGGCATTCCTTCACCTGAAAACAAAAAAATATTAGTTTAGTAATCTTAGCTTTGCGATGATGCAAGACTTGTGGACGAATTCTGATAGCAGGGCTCGGTGACAGACAAAATTGTTTGTGTGAAACCTGAAATATTGGGATAATGTTTATTATCTGTTGTATTTGTCATTGTTTATTCATTGTTTATATACATATTTGCCTATTTTTTTCTTCATCTCATTTAGACTTGTCTCTTCCTTAGCACACGTATAGATTGAAATTCTTAAAAAAAATAATAAACACTTCAAAGTTTTAAAATGATATTAACGTGAGATGCAACCTTTCAATCTCGCGAGTCTGCCAAATTGTCTTCGCTCAGCCTCAATTTTGCCAGCTGAAAACAAGTAGGTGAAAATTCAATAAGCTCTGTTTCGCGGGTAGATTTGCTAATTATTTTTTTAAAAAAAAAACACCATATTTCCGATCGAAAACAGGTTACCCGTCCTTGTTCTCCCGACTTTTGCCTCATAACTCTTCTCCTCATTATATATTTTCTTTCTACTCTCCTAAATAGCAAAGTAACATCCTATACCTGGTTATTCTGTCTATTTTAATTATCTTCTCGCTAGAAAATATATAAATGTTGCAAAGAGAAGTTACAAGTCACCTTTTTCTGCGAGTTTAAGAGTTGAAAAATTATTTTACCTGTCACAAAGAAATCCATGACACACATTGCCACGATACAAAGCACCAAAACTGTGGACATTTTCATGTTTATCTTGCTTTCGCTGTATTGAATTGACAAAACCAAACGGAAAACGTGAAAAATCAATGAGTGGTGGGTGTTCCTTAAGGAGGGTAGTCAGCTTTAGTTTGCCAACAAGTCGTTTTATAAGAGGAAAGAGGATATCAAAATTTTAAATTTTCAAAATTGGCGCCACATCGTTTTGTCTTCTCTGTTGTTATGGTTACAGAAGTGAGATCATGACATGCGCAGACGTTATTCAGCACTTTCGACGAGGCTTGTCATCCTTAAAATTGAAAGGCCAATTTCTCAGTGCGTTCTTCGCAAGAGCGTACAGGGGCGGACAGGTAACATTCGTCAACGCGACTTGCTTTCTCCGTCCCTATGTCCGAAGGCTGACATTATTTTTCTTTTCTTAAACTACTCCAAGAGATTGACGGGGAAGGAAAAAAAGTGACACCGAACTAACAAATATTGTGAAGAACAGGGCAGTCAATTGATTTTGCAAAAAACTCGGAAATTTCATGAAGGGCTTTGAAAAAAGTTTGAAGTAATAAAAATTAGATACTCTCGTGTAAATAAGGCGTGTCTTGATAAGCGGGCCGAGTTAATTCCAACAACAGCTCATAC